AACAAATAAGTTGTGGAGAATTGTGTGGGTATGGCGAGTGGGAAAGAACAGGAGTTGGAAGACGCGCCAGCAGCATTTTATAGGTCTGCTGTATGGGACCACTTTGCATTTAGAGTGACCTACGATGACGGCGGAAAGAAAGTTGTGGATAAAAGTGCAACAGTGTGCAAGCATTGTGCAACACATTTTGTTTATGCTAACAGCAACACAACCAACATGTCAGGCTAACAATCAACATATACCGAACCGAAAACCGTGAACCGAACCGAACTGTGGATTTTATGAACCGTTCCACCCCTAATTTACAGTAGGATGAAATTTTGAAATGAAGATGTTTTTAAGCTACCTTCATGCTGTAGTTTTGTCTTGTGACCGGAAAGTCGATCTCAATCCAGCTGTAATCCAGTGCTTTATTGAATCTTTTGAAACTGAAAGCTGCATATTCAGTATTAATGTTTATCAATCAGTAAAACATTCAGTTTCCAAATCTCCCTCTTTTATGCAGCATCCAAGCCACTAAAACCTGTCAGTGTTTTGCATCATGTTGTCAGTATGTACAGTTCAAATGGATCATAGTAATAATGTAATCAGCCAGCTGTGGTTACAGGATGCTGATATTCTGTATCATTCAGGCCCAAATGAGATTAGTGCAGCATCTTCATGCATTTATTGCAAACATTTCTCTTTAGGCCGCAGATTTGAGTAAACCCATAGACAAGCGGATTTACAAGGGGACACAGCCCACATGCCACGACTTCAACCACCTCACCGCCACAGCAGAGAGCGTGTCTCTACTGGTGGGCTTCTCTGCTGGACAGGTACAGCTTATCGACCCCATCAAGAAGGAGACCAGCAAACTCTTCAATGAGGAGGTAGGAGTCCGAACTCTATCATTGGGTTTTAGATGATCCGTTCCACATCTAACAGGTCTAAAGTTGATTTAGAAATGAAGGATTTATTAAAATGGAAAAACTTTCAGACATTTATCATGTTTCCTCATTTTCTACTGACTTTCGCTGTAGTTTTTCTATAAAACAGGGTTTTCTCCTACATGTAACTGATTGTGGTGCATCGACAGCAAAATAAAAGTCGTCACACCTTCCTAATAAATGAAATCTGTTAAAGCAGCGTAAAGCATCTAATCATCAACCATACTTTAAAATGAATTTAAATATCATGTAATGTTAAAATATACTTTATTTGAAAACAACACATCCTGTCTGTCTTTCTGTGAAGCTAACTGTTAGCTACAGTGCTCTGCTCTCTGTAGTGAAGGAAACCTGGATACGACCGTCCATTGTTGCTAACTTAGCCACTTTGTTTTTTGTATTTGTGGACTTTTTAGACCCTTCTAGCAACATTGCCCCCTTTAAAAAAAAAAAAAGCGATTAGAGTCAAATTTAGTGAGTTTTCTCTGTGTTCTTGGCGAAATTTGGCGACTTCACATGAGCAATCATACTACTGTCACTGTCTAACCACAGCAGTAGTGGCTGTAATGATTCTGTCCTGGAATATAAATATGATGTAAATATAGTTTTTAATACATTTGTTTTCTTTGTACAGTTGTAGCCATTCAAAATTTCCTGGTGATGCTATGCCCCCCCCCCCGCCTGCCTTCCTGGGTAAGGCAGGCGGGGGGGGAAGCACGGGGCGTCACGGGGTCGGGTTCGGTTGCTCCGTCCCCCACTGGCTTCCCCCGGGGTTCCTGGACCAGCCCTGCAGCTCACAGCTTGGTTCGAATGCCCGGTCCGGTCCAGTCAGTGCTGCACTGTAGTCGACCAAAATCCCAAACGATTTTAAATTCCCCCTGGACATTTTTTTAGTTATAAAAAGTAGGACATGTCCGGGAAAAAGAGGACGTCTGGTCACCCTACCATATCAACAATCTGATGTTTCAGTGAGTGAGTGCTTGTTGCTATGATGCCTCTTGGCTCAGCAGCTTGGCTCGTTGTAGACCAACCAATCAGAGCACAGCTCATCTAAATATTCATGATCATACCATAAAAGGAAGAAAAGCTGTGGTTTCATTCTAGGGCTTTTAACCAGGCTGCATTAGGGCTCATAGAACAGCTAATAGGCCATTTTCAGCCCAACCAATGTTACACACCCTATTAGAGACCTGAAGGACCAGATACCCTATAGAACCATTCTATCAGCCCTTTTAAGATCTAAAGCCTGGATTCTGGTTATATTCCCTCCCTCTGGAGGTGTTAAAAACACCGTTATTTATTTTGGATAAACTGAAAGAGCACAGATGAAAGCAGGAATAAGTTTATCTGTATCATGGATGTCATGTTTGGTCATACTTCACTGTAATAATCCTCCTCTCCTTCTGCTCTCCTCCCCCCTCCATCCTTCTAACCCCCGGTCCTCCTCCGGCAGAGATTAATCGACAAGTCCAGAGTGACGTGTGTGAAATGGGTCCCTGGCTCTGAGAGCTTGTTCCTGGTCTCGCACGCCAGCGGGAACATGTACCTGTACAACGTGGAGCACACCTGTGGCACCACGGCGCCGCACTACCAGCTGCTCAAACAGGGCGAGAACTACTCTGTCCACACCTGTAAGAGCAAATCTACGCGGAACCCCCTCCTAAAATGGACCGTGGGGGAGGGGGCTCTGAACGAGTTCGCCTTCTCTCCCGACGGGAAGTTCCTGGCCTGCGTAAGTCAGGACGGCTTCCTTCGGGTGTTCAACTTCGACGCCGTGGAGCTTCACGGCACCATGAAGAGCTACTTTGGGGGCTTGTTGTGTGTGTGCTGGAGCCCCGACGGGAAGTACATAGTGGCCGGAGGAGAGGACGATCTGGTCACCGTGTGGTCGTTCCTGGACTGCAGGGTCATCGCCAGAGGTCACGGCCACAAGTCGTGGGTGAGCGTGGTGGCGTTCGATCATTACACCACCAGCGTAGAGGAAAGCGACCCGATGGAGTTCAGCGGCAGCGACGAGGACTTCCAGGATCAGATGATCCACTTCGGACGAGACCGGGCCAACAGCACGCAGTCCCGGCTCTCCAAGCGCAACTCCACGGACAGTCGGCCCATCAGCGTAACGTACCGCTTCGGCTCAGTGGGCCAGGACACTCAGCTCTGCCTGTGGGACCTCACCGAGGACATCCTTTTCCCTCATCTCCCTCTGTCGAGGACACGGACACACACTAACGTGATGAACGCCACCAGCCCTCCGACCGGCGCCACCATCATCACCAACGCCTCCAGTAACACTACGAACGGAAACAACAGCGGCGCCAGCACCCCCGGCATCAACTCCCTCTCCACCACGTTACCACGCTCCAACAGCCTGCCCCACTCGGCCGGCACCGCCGCCGCAAACAGCGCCAACAAGAGCGGCGGCGGCATCATGGACAGCGCCATCGCCACGGGCGTCAGCAAGTTCGCCACGCTCTCCCTGCACGACCGCAAGGAGCGCCACCACGAGAAGGACCACAAACGCAACCACAGCATGGGTCACATCAGCAGCAAGAGCAGCGACAAGCTGAACCTGCTGACCAAAAGCAAAACGGACCCGGCCAAGACTCTGGGCACGCTGCTGTGCCCACGCATGGAGGACGTGCCCCTCCTGGAGCCCCTCATCTGTAAAAAAATAGCACACGAGAGACTGACTGTACTCATATTTTTAGAGGACTGTTTAGTGACTGCTTGTCAGGAGGGATTTATTTGCACATGGGCGAGGCCAGGCAAAGTGGTAAGTTCTTTTTAACAGGAAGTGTGGGAAGGTTGAAGTGCTAACATCATGTCTTTAACAGTTAACTAAAGATAAACCAACCCGTCGCGTCCGATTGGACGGTTTGGTTTGGATTCTTTTTCCAGCAGCCAGGTGGTTTGTTAGAAATGGTTTCATCTGCAGCTCCTGCTTCTAAAATCTGAAACCTGGAAATCCTCATGCTTAGGTCGTGGATTCCTACATTTTTCTGTTTTATTTCTTTTTCCGAGTGTACTTAGCTTTTATTTGCTTATTTTCTAGTTTTACTGTTTCTGACGGCAGAAACGGAACCAAAGCAAATTTTCTTTTTGTCTCCAATCCCCTTTATTCTCTGCTCCTTAGAGGAAATGCTTTCTTACAGATTTTATATAGAAAGATTTTTTCCCGCAAGAAGTTATTAAATTATTTCCCAATTCTGGGAATGTTAGAAATCAACACCAGATCATTTTAATGTCATTTATTCCATTTTTTGCTGAGTCATTGGTAAATAAGTTTCCATATCTGGGTTCTCAGAACAGAAAGCTCTTCTACAGATTGCCATGGAAAAATTCTAATTCAACATTTTTTAAACTAATGTGAATTTTTACTTTTGCCTTCATCTCCTTCATTTAATACCTGAATGAAAGTTTTGCAGTTTAGTTTTATTCCCGCAAATGTAGATTGGCAGGTGTTGAGTTATTAACAGGGTGGTATGGAGTGAATTTTGCTCCATTATTGTTGCAAGCAAACATGATTTTTAAATATCTGTGAAGATTCTCAGTCATCCGGGTCATGATCAAGCTTTAACAGTTCAGTTCAGGCAACCGAGCGTGAAGTTTTCTAGACATCGTTTCGCTTCTCATCCAGAACTGAAGATGATGGCAGGAGAAACGTCTTCTAGAAAACTTTACGTCATGTTTTTTTAAATGGAAATTTGTGTGTGTTAAGAAAAAAACAGTAAACCTTCTAAATCAAAAACGTTTTGAGAATAATGATGCAGGTTATATTTTTTCTTGCATTTTTTTTTTTTTTTTTTTAAGATTATTTTTTTTTAATTCTTTTTACAGTTAGTTTTTTTTTTCTTTTTATATCAAGTTTTAAGAATTTCTTCTTAAATTTCTTTACAATCAGATTTTCCAGATCAAATTCTCTTGACTTCTTGGGGGCGGGGTTTCTTCTGAAATAAGAAGAAAAGACTTATTCCTATTGGTCGGCATGGGACACAATTTTGTTGGAAATTCAATCTAAAAGAAGAAATTTGAAATAATAAACTTTAAACTTTAAAATCTATAAACAAGAAACAAAAAATAAATTTTGAAAGAATGAGGTTCTTTGTGGGGGGAAAAAAAAATCTGAGATAAGAGCAAAGTTACTCTAAAAACCTTTTTTTTTATTAAGAACTTTCATTCCTGGATTAATTTGTTTTTTATTTTCATTTACAAAATGTTTTCTTTGTTTAAAACGATTATGGAACAAAATTCACTTCAAAGAGTTTAAAGTTTTTAAAGTAATCAGTTGATTATATTTTACAATATATATTAAACAGTTAATCTAAAAAGATATACTTTTAATAAATTTCTAAAATAAACAGTCTGGAATAAAAAAAAATCCTTATTGCACATTTTAAATGAATAGTAAATTAAAAAAATAAGTACATGTACATATAATTAAGGAATACATATATATAAAAGGATTTTTGAATCTAAAGGAAATGTTTTATGTATCTTTTATAGAGTTTTTCTTAATTACTAAGTCTGTACCGTTACACAGCATATTAGTAATAAAAATATTCCATGATGAGAAAATCACCCATAATGTCCGGTTGTTAGTGTGTCATAGCTTATTTTCAGCATCTTGCTAATATTTACTTATTATACTACTTATTTCCTGGGTTGTTAGCCCGCGATATTTGGTGCGGTTCTTTACATCGTCTTCTTATCAACAAGACACAAGTGTCTGCATATTTTTGACGCGATTTGAGTCAGATATAGTCCCCGAAATCTCACCTCCGGTTCACTTCCTGTCGGCCAGTGATGTGCGATATGATTGACGTTTTAATCTCTGTTGTTGTTGGTTAAGACAACATGGGGTGTTGGGCTTATGTCGCCAATGAAATAAGGTTTCAAATGAGCCCAAATGTGTGTAGTATATTTAAAGGGGTACCGCATTACAGGCTTGTGTTAGAGAGAAACAGACACCAGCAGGTGGAGCCATTGAGCGCCGCTCCAAGCTGACACCAAAAGTTTAAAACCCCGCAGCTCTGGAACCGTTGTAGCTAGAGGTCTGAAAGTTTCTGTATTTGTGGTTGAAATGATGTAGAGCAATTTAATACCATGACCTGCCTTTTCTCAAGAATATCTTTATTACTGCTGTTCAAAAATGACCCATAAATTCCGAGAATAAAAAAAAAACTTTTAGTCATGTTTGAACTGATGCAGCTTGGTCTGTGTTCAAATTACCCAACGTTGATTTATATATTCAGAAACTAGAAGGTGTTAGCTTTCAAATAATGTATTGCACATGTCATTTGGGCTTACAGTTCCTAAGTTATTTGCTTTTCCATTTGGGTATGCAAAATAGGTGAGGATTACTCAAAATAAGGTGGATGTTAAGAGATTAAAACCATGTTTCTGCTTATCAGTTCATTTCTAATTTGCTGAAAACGCATTGAAGCAGAACATGTTTATAACTTGTTTCTGTTTGGTGAGGAACTCCACAACCAGGATTCTGGATAAAACTTTTCTGCACATCATGGAATAACAAAAAAAAAAATTGATCCTTTCTTCTGTTTTGGATACTAAAATAAAAATGCAGAACACATTTTAGAAGGAATATTCCATCATTCTGCTTTCTGTTGAGCTGGACCATTTTTAACAAGCCTGTCAGGTTTAAACTGCTATAACTTTTAAAAATAGGTTAATAGGAGCCCCTCAATGCTAATTATTTCCTTTCAGCCAGCTTTTCAGCAGTGCACAGAGATGACGTAATCTAATCTAAGCTCTGCTCATGTTTTCCTGATGTTCCTGTAAAGCTTTCAGCTTTCTGTGTGAGAACTTTAGCCTCCAAACTTCATTAAAATAAAATAATTTAGAAGAGAGCAACCCAATACCAGACAGTCAGTCAGAACCAGAGCTCCCAGTGACATTAGATCACTGCTGATTTATTTTTGGAGCAGCATGTAGATGTTTTTGGAACAGGATGGAAATGATGATAAATAAGGAAGTGCCTTAAATAAGGAAGCTCTGCTGGACGGGACTTGGATTTGGGCCACTATTAACTGATCTGTTTTGCTTGATTTTTTTTTATTTTTTTTCTTCTTTTGCTTCAGAATGTGGACTTTCCCAATGCAAATCTCCTTGTTTTCCTTTTTCCAGGGTTTATTGTCATCCCAAAACCAAGCCAGCTCTCCCAGTGGGACAGTAGTATAGCATCAATATTTCTGCTGCTAAAGAACCCTGCAACCCAGAGTCTGATGCTGCTCTCCACCCTGCAAGCATTGCAAGTTTTCCTTTTCCTTTACACCCTTCCCTCTCCCCTCTTCTGTTCACGGCTTCCCTGTTTGATACCCGGACTTAGAGGAGGAGGCGAAACACGGAAAAGCTGTGCAATCTGGTCACTGTTGCGCTCGTAGTTTTCTACTCTGGAGTTTTAAAATATTTTAGTTTTTTTTTTTTACTGTTTTGTGTCAGATCTCCTCAGACTGTTATCCTCTCTGAAACAAAGCTTGGCGTCGGTAACTGCAAACCAGACGGCTGAGATTAAGATGGTAGATTATTTTACTGTCCACCTCTGCAGACCCAGACCTTATGGAAGAAGTTTAGTTAAAAACTGCGTGAAAATTGACGTCCATCCATATTCAACCACTGCTTCTTTGACTAGAATCTCCCCATTAATGACTTTGCACTGATTTTTTTTTTCTTGTTAGCTGTTTTTTTTTTTGTTTTGTTTTATTTTATTTTTTTTATACTACTTTAATGGAACAATAAATAAGGTTGGGGACTGCCTAGTTGCACTTAGCAGAAGGCAGGATGCTGCAATCATAGTCTTTTTCAAGAAAAAATGGTTTGCACTTAAATTAGTTTTATTAGAAGAGAATGGCTTTACATTGTGGGGGTGTGCTAAGAACTTACAAATGGCTAATACAGTAGAAGAAAAAAACCTTTATCTATTGAGCATTTATTTTAATATTATTTCAGATTCAAATCTGCTCTGTATCATAATGTGTATATTGTAATTAATTGATCTGATGGGGGCCTACGCAAACTACCATTACTCCAGTGGAAGTTTTGTCATTGATAGTTATATTTCTAAAGCCTAAAGTAAACATATTAATAATATTAAAATAATCTTGAATACATTTTTTCTGGTTGTTGTTTATTATTTCTATGCATCTCTACATCGGTTTGCAATGAAACCATTTAATGTTTAATGAGCAGGGAGATTGAAGTATGAACATTTATAGAGGTCCTAGTCTGGGAAACACTGAACAACAAATATTTCTCAATGTTATAGATTTTATACTAAAGTAAGTAAATGTGTTTTATAGGGATGCACGATATTGGGATTTTGGCCGATATCCGATATGCCGATATTTTAAAACTCATGTAGCCGATAACCGATACCGATGTTAAAGCTGGACAAAAATAAGTAGTCATTGAAAATAGCAGTTTTGTTATCCATTTCTGACACTTTGAAAAATAATATACTCACGCGGTATCGATCTATTTTA